GGAAAGGAACATGAACTTCCAGGGAGGCTGGTCTGTGCTGCACTGGGATATGTGTCGTGTTGCTGTTGGCTTACATACTTAGGTGTTATCGTGTCACTACGTCCCTCACGATACACTTTTGTGTGATTGTGACGGGGACATGTTTGCGGTATGGTTGGTCTGTAACTGTTCTATACTGAATTGAAAAAAAAAAGAGAGTAAGAAAAAAAATGTGGTTCTTACTATCATTGCAGGGCGTTTGCCGGTCCAATGATATAGCTACAGGGAATAGTGATTCCGGACTAGCATAAATAGTACTGAAAAAAAAGAGATTATGAAAAAAGAATAGTTCTTACTATCATTGCAGGGCTTTGTGCCGGTCCAGTGATATAGCTATAGGGAATAGTGATTCCGGACTAGCGAAAACAGTACTTGAAAAAAAAAAGAGAAAATAGAAAAAGCTACAGACTAATCATTCCGATCTAACATAAAGATGATTAAAGTTTTGTAGGGCTTACTGCCGGAACAAAACTGACTGTCACCCGAGTCTGAAGGGTCAATATAGACCGGACTAGACGCTGTTTTGTCAGGAGAATCGAACGATGTTTTTCTGTCTACAGATAACTAAGATTGTGATGGAGCGCGTGCAGGACGCAAGCATGTCAGTATGGCCGTGACGGCACGTGCAATGTTGCACGTGCGGCGGGGTCGGTGTAGCTAGACAGAATTCTTGTAAATAACACGTGCTGCGCACACCTGCACCATTGCACCTGCGGTGGCGCCCGTTTAGCTTGTATAAAACGGACGGAGCTGCCGCCGTCAAGACAGTCTTGGCTCTGACGTGGAACGGTGCGCTTGTCGTATTCCGTTACTATTTTATCCTCGACTCGTTCGATAATTTATTCCTGTAAACGAATTAATTATTATTCCTAACTACAAAAATCAGTCTCTGTACTATAGCCACTATACTTCCTACAAGCTCATACCTGTACCACAGAACAATCTGCTATTTTATTTAGAAACGGTGTGACTCCTTGTCTCATCGGTTTCACAGTAATCATGTAATTGGTTTATATGAAATAGATTACAAATCTTTGCTTTTTCAAAAAAGGCTATTTTTGGCTCCACATTGTTTAACCATTTATTAGGTTCTGTTAGATTGGAAGGAAACCTGCAAAAAATTAAGTAATAAAAGATATATAATTATTTTAATTTTGATGTTTCTGTGTATCATCATTCTTGTAAACAACATTTCGAAATTTCACGCAAATCGAGCAGAGAGACCATTAGAGAAAACCTTTTCCGTTTGTAATTAAAATAAAATACATTACAATGTATGGTCACCCTAGTCCAAGTTATAATATAAACATGAATCGTTAATTATTAAGCAAATAGCGAAATAAAATTGGAAATACCGAACCAAAATTAACATCTAAACCAAAATACCCATTGGTCTATACAGAAATAACAGCAATTAAATTCGAAATATCACTAAAAATTAGTTTCACATGCCGCGCAGTATTTGCATGGTGTTTTGTACTTACGAATGAAATATAATATTACATTCTGGATGCCACTCACTTTTGCAATCGCGCACAATACATTTAATGACCATTTTACTAGTTTTGCCTCTGCATTATTCCAAAATTCAAAAACAAACTTGCGAAATGAACGTAAACATCCGTCATGTACAGTAAAAATTATTTGACAAATAGATTTTGGGTTATCATATAACGGCTTTTAAGAATAAATTTAAAACAGGGGAAATATGTAGGAAGCTAGGCAAATAGTTCATAGTAAATCTTTATTAAGTGTTTAAAAGACAAAGCAAAAACTTGCGTGAAAATCATATTGTCAATTTTTGTTATCAATTTTTACTTATAATTCTTGCCATACTGACAATTAAACTTATACTGAAATTCATAATGGCTGTCAATGGGGTAATATCAGTCATCACGCTGGCTATCCTGTAGGGAAAACAGGAGCTACTCAAGGTCATTTGATTATTCCTAATGTTGATATTAGGAGTGTGGGTTCCAGTTTGTCTATACTTCCGTGGTTTACATGAAAGCATATGTTCCGATATATCAGTCTGTTCAACATATGAAGCATCAAATATATATATTTTTTTTTATTTATTTAACTTTTTGCTTAACGTGACGTCTTTGAAACTCAGATAATTTACATACTTACCATTTTCAACCAACTTCAAAAAAGGAAGGAGGTACTCAATATGACTGCATTTTTTTAGTCTCTAACTGTACAGTCAATCCTGTACAGCTCGAGGACCTTCTTTAGTCATGTATGAGGCACCGAGTCGAATGCCTTTCAGTCTATCCAGGCGGCGAAGAAGTTCCGATGGTTGTATTTAACCACTTTGCCAATGACCGCGTCAGTGAGGAGTAGTTCCTTGGTTCCAACACCACCTCCCCGACATCCATTTTGAGCCCGCGACATCACCTGATTTAAATCCAGGTGACGAATGATTCGCGTACTCAAAATGGATGTCAGTTGATATATGGTGGGTAGACACGTAATGGGGCGGTTTTTCCTAGGGTCTGTGGAATCATGGTCTTGAACCAAATGAGTGATCCCAGTAGTGAAGCGGCTCGGGAGTGACTTTGAGTCGAGATCCTCTTGCAACTGTCAAGCGAACACAGCGTGACACATCACGAACCCCTTCAGCCAGTAGTGATGCAGTCCGTCAAGTCCCGGACTTTTTCAGTTCCGGGTCCTACGGACCATCTCAGCTACATTATCCGGCGTTATGATGACGGGATCCATGGGCGGGCGTAACACTCGCAAACTGATTCGCCACAACTTCCATCCAAGGGCCCTCGCTGTGGTTTACGGGCTCTGACCACAGGCCGCGCCGGAATGCGACAGTGCTGCGCCTGTTCCACGTACCATTGGTCGCTCCAATGATTCACAGAGCCTCTTCTGATCACTCTGGAAGAGACGATTCTGGTTGAACCGTTTCGACCTCTAGAAGGATTGAGGAACATATCGATGTTCCTCAATTCTTATTCTATAGGCTGGGATGGCGCTACTTTGTCTAGTAGCACGTACAGGAGGAGTGTGTGTTTGGCACCAATAATACGGCATACTGCCAGTTCGGCGCCAAAAAGAATTGAGTCGGTCCCGCATAGGTCCCGGCTGGCTTCCAAATAGGTCACCAGCTTTGGGTTTAGAGCCCTCACGACAGCCCGATTCTTAGGGTTATGCGGGGAAGTCGCAGTCGATTTTCGAGAGGCGTACTGCGCGTTTCCTCAATCGCTTTTTCCAATATACTCCTCATTTGCTTTAGTTCTAGTTCCTGGGGGACTGTTCCATCATCGTCTGAAACAACCACAACTGGCGATATTCATAAATATATTTATGTCTATGGAAGAGACCTATTGTGGACCTAGTATATATACAGTAATATAAGATGTGGACACGTAGACTGGTAGTGGCTAGTGATATACAGTAATCTGTGATGTGGACCAGCAGGACTTGACATAGAGTTTTTGGCGGAAACTTTTACGCTGGAGGGATTGCTGCTTTTGTATTATTGTTTAAATAATGGTTTGAAGTGGATTTTGATATGTAAAAGTGGTGCGGCTTTGTGTATTAAATGTCTGCGCATTTGAATTATTGGAAACGGTGAAACAAGTGCTCTGATGGTGATGTGATTCTCAAGATAAAGTGTCTTCTTGTTTGTTGTTTCTTTTTTTTGCAGGAGAGGGGGCAAACAAGCATGCGGCTCACCTGATGATAAGTGAGTACCGCCGCCCATGAACAACTGCAACACCAGGGGAATCAAAGGAATCGCACATGCGTTGCCGGCCTTTTAAAAAGGAGTAGGCTCATTTCTTGAAGGTCCCTAAGTCGTATCGGTCCGGAAAAATCGCTGGTGGTAATCAATTCCATAAGGAAGTTGTGCGAGGAAGAAAACATCTTCTAAATCGCATAGTGGTGAACCGCCAATCATCCTGATGCTGTGAATGGTATCGGGGTTCTGCCGCGATGTGCGTTCGTGAAATTTGGCGGCTGGGATTAATCCGAACAATTCCTCAGAGCACTCCTCGTGGTAAATGCGAAAGAAAATGCAAAGGGTTGCAACATCTCTTCGCAACGCTAATGAATCTAGCCGATCGGAAAAGACTCGGTCGTCGACGATTCGAGCCGCTCTGCGCTGGATGCGGTCAAGTGGAAGGAGTTGGCACTGGGCAGCCCCTGCCCAGAGATGGGAACAGTATTCTATGTGAGCCCGAACCTGTGCCTTGTAAAGTTGCAGGCGTTGTGCTGGCATGAAATACTGTCCCGCTCTTCTGAGCACGCCAAGCTTTTTAGAGGCCAATTTGGCCTTCTCTTCCAAGTGACCACGACACTGCACGTCACTCGTCTGCTTAGGCGCCTTGAGTTACCATCGATAAATGTTAGCTATCTGCTGGCTCAAGCTGCCGTCAAAATCTCCCAAGTGCTGCATAATGTGACGCATCAACATACTGTGAAGCAGTGTACTATAAAGGATAATTATACATTGTAACTTCAGGCTCAGAAGAGCTAGAACCCAGAGCCTTAAAGACAGGTTTAAACAAATATGACTTGACAGATTTAATAATTAACTCAAGACAAGAACTATGTCTATGGACAAGAATCAACAACCAATACCAATATTGTTGTGTTTTTGTTTGTTACTTAATTGCTGTTGTTGTTATGCTTACATGGGCTTAAATTATTGTTCTGAGGGTTTAATTTAAACGTAGTGATATAAATAATAAACTTTGCATGGGGTAAAATAGTGAGGAGTGCTCAAAATCGACAAACGACAATATCCTTTCCATGATTAATCTTTATTACAATAATATCTCTGCCATAAATATACGCTGTAATTTAAAAAAAAATTAGTGATTGAATACTTTTTAGTTAGTAAACTTATGATACATTATTAATGTTCCTGTCGAAGAGTTGAAGATTAAGACTATTGCTTCCGTTGTTTTTTGCTAAAGTAATGTAAAAACAATTCTTGAATGAAAATGCGATGGAACGAATCAGTTACTTTAAAATTTGTAAAAATATATATGAAACACGAATGCCTATGGAACCCTACACACCCAGGGTACAAAGTAAAATACCAAAGAGATAAAGCCTATGCTGATATTTGTTCTGAATTTAAACAAGCTACTATGAAAATTTTAAGTATACCTGAAGTAAAAATTAAAATTAAAAACTTAAGAACAACTTACATACAACAAGTGCATAAAATACTCCAGAAGTCAAGTCCTAATTGCATATATGAACCCTCTTTAATTTGGTTTCATGAAATGGATCGATGTATGAAAAATGTTTCCACCAACCGAAATTCTCTATATAACAATGTAAGTCTTACCTTCTATCATACTCAATATTTGATAATAATTTTTATATTATAGCCAAGCATAAGATTAAGCAAGTATGTTATATGCCCAACCTAAAGTGTGGAATCTTCAAATTTTCAAATCCTAAATAGATATTATATCATTAGTGGATTTTAAAAGTATTCGCAAGAAATTAATAAAAAAAAAATCAGAAACTAAAATAATCTGACAGCCTAACAAAATCCATCATCCAATTTTTTCTCTTTTTTATAGAATAAGGGTGACAAATAAGCAAACATTCCAGCTGATGGTAAGTAGGTGCTGTAGCCCATAGATCGATTAAGAATCAAAATGCAGATATGTTTTTAACCCTGAGGACTAAGATAGAATACCTTGTTTCTAGTACAAAGGGTCTCCGGTTCTCTACACTCTCCATATGAAACACAGTAGCACTAAGTTGCTATTTAATGCTGGTATTCTGTGAGAGTTTGGTCCTACCTTGGTTGAGCCGACCCATTCAAGAAGTAGAATTATTTGTTGTGCAACAAATACTTGGTCAAAGATTTACAAAAAGTAATTTGGTATAGGCTCTAGACTAGGCTATAGATTCAGATCTACGCCTACTGTATGTTGACTGCAGTGAAACTGGTGATATGCATGAAGTACATTTTTCACCTTGTCTCCATCTGGTGTCATTTAAATCACTTCTATTTGTGTATTTTGCTGTGAACTGGCAATGTAAGAATATCAACTAACACATATCCTGTAGGTGTTGTAAGACACAACAGAGGAAAATAAGCCAGTAGATGGTGCAGCAGCATCTTCCTAATAAATAAAATAGCTAATCCATCTTTTAAGCATGGCAACTATGGGAAAGATACCCCCTATGAGTCAATTTACAAGGAAGGTCTATGTTCAGCAAAGGACTTTTGATAGACTGTAATAAGTTTTTGAAAAGGTTAAACTATTTATATTTTTTCTCTAAAATCAATGTACTTATATCCCTTATTTTCAATTTTTTTAGACCCAAGAGACATTTGAAGTTGATTCATCATGCCAAATTTTCGTAGATCAAGAGCTGGAAAATGGAAACATTGAAGAAACAAACCCTGATCCCCTAAATGCACAAACTGACACTGAATATGACTCATCAAAACCGGATGATTCCATCTCTCATATAAAAAAAGAAAAAGAACACAAAACACCACCTACCTATAAAAAATTGAAAAAGAAGAAAATAAAGCACCGAGTTTCCGAACAAGATTATTCCACGGATTCAACCACAGAATCGGTTGCTATGGAGGATGAATTTGATATCTATGGGAAATATATTGCTTCACAACTAAGGAAAATGGAGTTGCATAAAGCTTTGAGACTTCAGTTAGAGATTCAAAGCTTAGTGAGCGAAGCAAGGATTTCGGATATAAGCAGTGACTAAACTATATACAATTAAACTAAAAAAAAAATCTGTATGCAGCAATGTGCAGTACAATCCAAATTTTGTGTTGAAGTATAGTCAAATGCATTATACAAGTATATAAAAGAGTTAACAAAATAATAATTAATGATGTAAAACTATCAAGTTTTAACTTACAAGTGGAAGAGCATAAAAACCAAAAGCTGTTTCCATAAATAAGAAACTACAAAGGATTGTATTTGATTTTTGAGAAATGAAAAGTGATAAATATTTTAATAGAATGTCCTAGAGACTGAATTCCAATGATGGTGACCGGTCTCAATGGAAACTAGCTGTCCGTGCAAGACAAGACAACAGGGCAAAATATCTGCGCCAGCACAGGTGCTCCCTCTCTCTCTCTGCTCTCCCTCCCTCTTATGATGCAATGGGCCGGCAATCCGACATGAACGAAGATACGAATACTGGCTCATTGCGCCGCTCTCGCCACTGCTCTGTTACGCCGTTGACGTCTCTCCTCGTCAATGCTGTAGTCGAAAATGCGGTCGATATGTAATGCTTAAAAAACTATAAAAATTAATCTATGTATGTATTATTAGTTTTGGCCAATGATCCTTATATTTTATTGTATTAGCGGTCCTTTAATTTAAAAAAATAATCATGCAAGCATGTTTTAACTTGTGGCGTAGTATAGATTTCTGTCTCCCAGTGCCTTTAAAGAAGAAATTGCCGCAACTTCTCGGACTCCCTCATAATTTACTAAAATATCGTAATAAATATAAATTTGATAAAAATCGTGTATATTCTTTATTAAATCAAAATGAATATTGTAACAATATTATATTGTATTTTTTATACTTATCCCTTGACGAGTGTGAGGGTGTTTGTGTGAATTATCTCTATATTTTCAGAATTTACAATGCTACAGTTTTCTGTGGAATATGTCAAAGGCTATGTATCTGGTCTATGGTACCAAAGCCTTTTCGGAAACCGGTTTGTTCGGGAGGCTGAATGTAGTCATGTTGAAGTCAAACGATTTTCTACCGCCTCTCGAAAACAGCGCGTAGGCGTAGAAGGGAAATCGGTCTATAGTTTTAGTTTAGTTTTTTTTATGTGTGTTACCTCATAACTTTTTACTGGGTGAACCGATTTTGATGATTCTTTTTTATTTGAAAGCTTGTACTTCTCGTGTGGTCCCATATGAATTTGATCAAGGTCAGACCAATAGTTTTTGAGTTCTTCTTAATAACTTATATTGAAATCGGCTGAACAAAATTTTTAATTTTAAATTATTGACAAACAAGATATAATTAAAGAGCTCTGTAGGAATTTAAATGCCAGGTTTAAATCTGCTTTTAGAAGCTCCGCTGTAATTCCACCCTCATCCGAGGCTTTGCAGTGCCGGAGAGTTATTCTAATATCGCTCAGATTGACTCAGCTTCTTCCTGATAATATGCCCTACAGCACAAATAAAAATGGAAAACTGAAGCGTAAAAGCAAAAAGAAATAACGTTCAAGGTGGAAGACTAATAAAAAGATAAAGCTTTCTTCAAAAATTAATGATATCCCCCCAAAATCATGAATGTAAAGAGTTTGGTATCAACCAATTTTTTCTTGTTCTTTGGAGACTATTCTTAGATGCTCCGATAAGAGGGCTGAGATATAAACAGGCACTAAGCTCTACGGCAGTTCCAAGTGCGTTGTACATTCCTATAGATCCTACGATTCCAGCAACTGATATGAAGCTTAGCGCTCGTTCGGATATCTATCGGCAAAACCGACAACACCGAATGTCTTTTGGGCAACTTGGCACACTGTTGGGATTTCAGTATTAGTCCTAATTATAATATAGATTCTCGACATCGTATTTTATATGAATGTGGAACCTGCAACAATATGTTTGATATGCTTCAGGACAGACGTCTGTCCCTCAGTCTGTCTGTTCGGGCTAGTTTTCGGAATGATTGAACGATTGTGATGAAACTTCACGAATATATAGAGAGCACTGTCAATGATCTAGGCTTTATTTAATTAAAAAAAACTTGTAAGTTTTTGAGAAACCGAATATTTGGTGAAATAAATGGTAATTGAGGATCAACTTAACAGGTTCCCTGTCCGCATAATAGACACAATAGTTAAACAATCGAAATGTATATGAATCATGGGACAAGGAACGGGTTAAATTTCAATAACGCTACATTAGTACATCCTACCAAGGTGAAACCAAGGCGGGCCGCTAGTATAATTATAAAATAATAAAAAAAATCTATGGTTGCCAAATCTGCCTGCCAAGCGTGGCATTTATGGTAACTATATCCCCTACATAAGGCATTATTTGATGAGGCCTATTTTCAGCAGGGGACTTTGGCAGGCTGTAATAAACGAATGAAACTAATACATAGCATAGAGATATATACTTATGGAGAGGGCATATTCCACTATAGAAGTAATAGTTATACAAATATTACATACAAGTATTTGGTACACAAGCAAAAGTATTCCTTTTCCTACTACTCTGTGAATATTCATTTTTATTATGTGCGTTATAACTTTTTAACTTTATTCACAATTATATAAAACAAAACGTGTGTGTGTACTTTATATGTACGCACGTAAGAAGTTATACTTCTTTAGCGTAATAAACAAAAATAACTAAAATAAAACACGTTTTATGCATTCATATATATTTGAATAACTACCTCGAATATAGTTATCAGTTCTCAGGAAAACTTAACAATTGACAGACAATTACCAATTGAAGTTGTAAAAAATTCACTCTCATCATTTTTCTCAAGCGCGCCAAACGAAGTATAACTTCAAAACTTGAGTAAGCAATTCGCACACTCAGAACATTGTTTATAACAAGTTGCAAGTTAGCTGCCTGCGTACTTAACTCATTGTTTGACTGTGTACCTAACACAAAAAATCTGTAGCAGTGTGTGCATTGCGTAAGTGTATGTCATATGCGGTGAAGCCTCGTGAAGCAGCTCAAGCGAAATTTAAGGGATAACAACCCAAAACTTATTTAACAACCCAACAATATCCATTGCTTCATGTGATTGAAAAATTCGTTTGCTCGACAACAAAAACCACGCAATGGATGTTGTTAGACTGTCAAATTAGTATGGTTTGCCATTTTAGGTGTGCTACGCAATTAGGCTATGGATTTAATTTCTATAATTATATGAAATAAGAACAAACTCATATTAGTAAAATATCGATATCAGATGCCCATATTGCTGAGTTACAACCCTACAAAAGGCGGCCATTTTATGCGCCAGATTTGTTTAGGTTGTCACGCTTATTCTTTTGGTATGCCCAGTCCATATACTTCTAAGTCAGTGATACATAGTGATTATATACTCTTTGCTACTGACGGTGAAGTTCCGGCCAAAACTGGCCAAAACTCCCCATAAAAACTAAAGTTTTTTTTGGAGTTTATGGCCTGGTATCTTTAGGCCAAAAAACTAAAGTTGTTCAGATAAAATGTTGACACATTTTTTAATTGTTAAGCTTTTTTAACGATAAGGGATAGAGATATACTTCCATACAGCCTTACCTAACGTATCTCTTTTAAATCTTTGTAAAAATGATTGAACAACATAATCTTATTACTAAACACATTGTGAGTTTTTGAGAGATTTCGAGCACATCGTAATCCAGTAGAAATAGTCGATGACGATTACGTCACGATGGCATCTCGCACTGTATAGTGGCAACGTAAAAGAGAATCCACTACCCCATGTTTTCATCACTTAGGTGTCGTAAGAGACGACAGAGGGAAATTGAAACAGGAGATGGGCAGCAGAATCTTCCTGATAACCTTAAAAAATAATGCGAAATTGCGGTTTTCATTCTACCAGGCAATCTACGAGGAAGGCCTTTGTCGTAAGAAAAATATGAATGTATAAATAAATGGACTTTGATTATCTTAAATCTAAATAACTCAAGACTACTTCTACTTCAGGCGAGGGCAGGCCAAGCCCTTGCCGTTATTAATACTAAGTATAAAGTACAACCCTGCCAGGGTTGTACTTTATACATAGTCGTTCAACTTATAACGTTGATATTACTTCAAATAATTAGAATTGGGTACTTTTTAGAGTATAAAAAAACTACACCTTGCTTGAATATAATTGCACCATCGTTAAACATGCATTAAATGCAATGATAAGCTCAAAAATTTACTAAAACCAAATTTAATTAATAGAATCAGGCGTTACTTTGCGGAAATCCATTATATAAAAGGTTTTAAAAAGTTATTTTGCAAACATCCGCTCTATAAAATAAAATGATGTGTCTTACCTAGTATGAAGAGCACCTCCCGCCCTCCCTCAATTGCGTGCACTATCCCCGTCACCACTAATCCCAGCACCACTACTCCCAACACCACTACACTAGGAAGGACACACCATTGACGACAATCGTCACTTAAGTCACTTAACGGTCAGCCACCGTAGAGTCTACATCACCTGAGGATGCCTCGTTTGGAGGTGAAACACGTGTCGTATTGTCGTCAGTGGTGTGTCTTTCCTAGTGTAGTGTTGTTGGGAGTATGGGAGTAATGGTGCTGGGATTAGTGGTGACGGGGGTAGTGCACGCAATTGAGGGAGGGCGGGAGGTGCTCTTCATACTAGGTAAGACACATCATTTTATTTTATAGAGTGGATGTTTGCGAAATAACTTTTTAAAACCTTTTATAAAACCAAATTTGTTAAATGTCGATTGGGTGTACTCGACTTGGGTGTTCGCAAAGCACTCTTCTCCCTGGACGTCAGCAAGTCGAGTGGGCCCGATGGAATCCGTCCCATTGTGCTGAAGACGTGTGCTCCGGAGTTGGCACCGGTTTTAACGCGTCTTTTCCGGTACTCCTACTCCCAAGGTGTAGTCCCGAATTCATGGAAGACAGCTTTGGTCCACCCGATCCCTAAAAAAGGCGACCGCTCAGACCCGTCCAACTACAGGCCTATTGCCATCACCTCCTTGTTCTCCAAAATAATGGAATCCATTATAAACTGCCAGCT